TCGTTATGTGGGACACATCAGATTGGAGCAAAAAAGAGGAAATTCTTGGTTTGAATATTATAGTCTATTGTCATATTTAAATCTTACTTGTTGATCTATGATTTTTTTCTTGAAATCAAAATATTATAGGCCATCAACTGACAGTCACTCAAATTGAATGGAGTCCAGATGGTAAATTACTTTTGAGCGTAAGCAGAGATCGAAAAGCGATGCTGTACAGAGAACGGAACGGAGATGGTATTTGGATACCCTGCTATTCAATTTTGGGACATAGCATCAATATTTTAGTCAATGGTTTTTCTTACGAGAAGATTTGGTCCTCTGGAAAAGAACATTCGAGAATCATATGGTCATGTGATTGGTTCGGCGATTCTCAGCACTTTGTCACAGCCTCCAGAGATATGCAGGTATATCTATCTATTCCCGACACAACAGAATCCCATTACAAACCTATCATGGAAAAAAAGGCCAACAACTTAAGGCACTGTTTTAGGTTATTCTTTGGCAGTGCACCGATACGGCTGCCATTATGTTGAGTAGGTACAAATGTCCTCACCCAGTTACAAGTGTAGCTGCAAGGTATGCAACACAAACAAAGTTGTTTCTTTGGTAAAAGGATTTTTTGCCAATATCACAGATAATTTAGTGACTCGCTAATTGTGGCTGGACTGCAGGATGGCTCCCTTTTCTTTCTCTCGATCAACGAGCAACAGCAATTTGACCTTATGCATAAACTTTTCGTTCCATCAATAGCTTTGGAACAACCAGTGCTGCGATTGCGGTTCGAATTTATTTGCAGCAACATTTGTCAGAATGATTTGTTTTCATAACTTCTCGATTTTAAGGTTCAACCCTGTGGATCGCAACGTCTTAGCAGTTGCAGGAAGTGACGGGAAACTGCGGATATTACAATTGAAACTCACTAATGAAGCCCTCAATGGAGGAACTACTAAATAAGGAATTACAATGTAATATATTGAGATCTAATATTTATTAAGCGTATTTTCACCGTTTTTTTTCTGTCAAGATATATAAGATTACAAAGTGCGGGTTATATAACCTCAAATTTTCCGCAGGGAACAAAAAGAATAAATTGTTCGCAGCTAGTCACTGTGATCCGAATTCTCCTCAGATGACTAGAATAAAAATTGTATATATGTGAGAAAGAGAAGACAAAAGATTAAAGACAACCTCTTCTTTTTTCACTTCCGTCTCA